AATCCCCGCCAGGCGGAACTAATGAAGAGCCCTGGTCCCTCCTCCCCTTGTTGTTTAAATAAGATCCCGCGTAGCAGCGACTCAGAAGAGCCATTTTCCCCCCGCCGTCCCCGCCCCCCTCCCTGCCCTCCCCCTTGCACTCTTTGTAATAGTCTCAGCTACAAGGACGATTGAAACTTTATAGTGCATGATTCATAGAGCGGAGCTGCACTCCGAGCCACGGTGCATATTACATTAATCAGTGTCAGGCCACTAAAACAGAGATATGAATATGAATTCTCCATATTGCAGGGGAGATGAATGTGCTCGCGAATAATTGATCAGCGCCCATGCAATCTATGTGTGTGTGTGTGTGCGTATTTAGATGTGTATGGATATATAGTGCGTGTGTGTATATGTGTGTGTCTATATACGTGTGTATATTTCTATGGATATGTATGTCTATATATGGATGTGTTTGTGGGTATTTCTATGGATATGTATATATATAATGGGTGTGTGTATGGGTGTATATAAATGTGTGTCTGTATGTATATGTATATGTACATGGATAAGTATGTCTGTCTATGGATATGTGTGTCTATAGATGTGTGTGTGTGTGTGGGGATATGGATATGTCTGTCTATATATGGATATGTATATATGTGTGTGTGTGTGTGGATATGGACACGTGCGTATATATGTACGGATATGGATATATGTGTCTAGCTATTAATATGTCCACATATGTGTACAATTAATATTAATATGTGCTTGTGCATATGGATATGGATACGTGTCTGCGTGTATACACAGTATGTGTGGGTATGTATGTGTGGATAGGGATATGGATACATGTTTGTATGTGTGCGCATATTGATATGGATATGGATATGTGTGCACGTATATGCATGTGTGTGGATATGGATCCGTGTATATACGCATATGTATATGCATATGTGTGTGTGTGTAGATGTGGACATGGACACGCAAACACCATCGCGGGAGGGAAGAGATCGGGGGCAGGGCTGTGCCCGGCCCCGCGCCCAGCAGCCGAGGACGAGCCGCGCGGGGCGGACAGACGCGCCGCGGGCGCTAATCGGGGCGGCAGCCGCACTCCGCAGGCTGCAGGCCGGGGCGGGTGAAAGTTTTGCAGCGAAACCGACTCCAGTAAAGCGAAAAGCTGGAGATAACCGCAGCTCTGGGGAGGCCGGGGGCAGCCGTCGCGCGCTGCTGAATGTCTCTTCCCGGTTTCCCCGAAAGCCCGGCGTTAAGGGCACGGTTTTGTTTCATGGGGAGGGAGAAGGAGAGAAAGCCCCTGAGCGCCTGCCCGCAGGTCTCCAGCCCGTCGGGGCAGGGCCTGCCTGGGCCCGGAAAGAGCTGCTGCAAAGGGCTGGCATCGCCCGTGCCAAGCGACTGGAAGAGATGAGGCGCTTTCTGCTGGGAAGGTTTGGGAGCCGGGCAGGGAGCTGGCTCCTGCAGCCCCCTCGAGGGAAGTCGTTGGCGCCAGGCTGAAAGACAGGAGAGGGCTCGGGCTTCTTGCACGTGTTGCTCCTTAACTGGGCCGGGCAGAGATCCTGGGAAGAAGTGGCGTGCGGGGAGCCAAGGCTTTGCAGTTCATGGTGCCCCCAGCCACCACCTGAGCCCTAACTCTGTCCCCCCACCCCCGGCCCGGGATAATCCCTGCCCCTATCGCATTCTCCGGACAAGCGCATCCTGGTTGAAAATCCCGCGCACGAAGCCAAAATGCTGCTGCCCCCCAGGCTCCATCTGACGTTCAGCCTGGTGCCTCCCCGCGGGCTCCAGCCGGGTCCCCCCGGCTGCGGCCCTGCCTCCGCCAGTGCGGGCAGTGGCACGAGGGATCCTGGCCCCAGCTGGGGCTCTGGGAGGGGCTGTGGGGAAGGGGGCAGAGCCGAGAACTGCCCTGGACTGAGGCAGAGCAGAGGGCGGTGCCCCCCTGGTGCTGCCCCCCACACTCCCCTGCAGCCCCCAGCAATTCATGTCTAGGAAGTTGATCACTCCGAGCCTGTGCCCCTCGCTCCCGTGCCCCGCGCCCCCTCCCCGGGCTGGGCACGGCTCCTCCGCTCGGCTCAGGCGGCGGCGCCGGCGTGTGTCTGCCCACAGAGGGCGCCTCGAGCCTGGCCAAGGCGGCAGGACAGAGGCGAGAGGGGCTAGCGCAAGCTCCCGGCAATTAAAGCCCTTCTCGGGTGCAGAGGCAGCGAGCTAATAATCCCCCCTGCTCCTTCTTCCAAGCCGATTTGGCAGTACCTCGTTTGCTTCGCCTGGCGCTGCCCCCCGCATGCCAAGCAGAGGGTGCCCGTACAGGGAAGGCAAGCGGGCGGCAGCAAGCGGGGGCGAGCCTGCTTTGCCCTAGGACGCCCGGCTGCAGGGCAAGGGAAAGCTCCCCAGCCCAGAGCACGGGTGCAGCCGGGTTTAGACCCGCTGCAAGCACCGCCCGAGATCTCCGCTACAGATCTGCTCTTGGCTTTCTCCATCCACTCCACTGCTGCCTCGCTTGCATTTTTCTGTCCCCCAATCCCCCCCCCCCCCCCCCCAAATCAAGCTGCGTTTTCTTTCAAACCGGAAAAAAAAAGTTTAATCTTAGAAACTTGGGGTTTGGGGTCTTAAAAAAAACATTGAAAGGTCGTAGGCGAAGAGCCTGCAGAGAGTGCAAAATGAACCTCTTCTCCGGGGAAAAAAACCCAACAACCCGCACAACATACATTTGAAACACTTCAGCTACTCCGCGCCAGTTCGTCTTTTTGTTCCCTCCTCCCTCCGTTCTCAAGAATACGATTCCGTTTTAACAAACGCCGAATAAAAGGCAACCTTCACTTCTTTGGAAACAGATCTCTGAGCAACACTTGACATAAAAAAAACCGTCTTTGCATTCAGTGATATTGCGGCTAAATCCAGATCAATATTCTGAACCTTGATGGGAATTTTATTAATATTTTATTTTGGACCAAAAAGAAAAAAAATCTCGCCTCTTTTCCCGACAAGTCCTGGGCAGGGGTTGGTTCAGTTTGGATGGGGCGTCACCACATTATTTCTTAATGACTTTCCCAGCTGCTTCTTTCCATTTTCCACCATCAACAACCATCTGGTATCTTATTAGCACCTCAATGCTCATTTAGTGTTCTCATTTAGGAGGAAGAAAAAGAAGTAAACACTCCAAATATTACAAATTTTAACGGATTGTCCCTGGAAGATTAATGCCTTTATAAACTGGTGGCTTCTTTTTTCTCTCTCTCGCTTTTTACAGCCCACAGCCAAGAATCTTGCAATCCACCCTCCACCCTCCTCAAAAAAAGTGCAATAGTTGCGATTTCCTCCATTTTCTGCTAGATTTTTTTCTACTAAAGCTCAAAGGGGGGACTCTTTCAAAAGTTACATTTCCCCTGCATTTGAGAGGGAGGAAACTTAAAAAAAAATCCAAGTCCTACTCTACTATTTTCGACTTTGGCCAGAAATTTGACAAAACCACAATTTACTAGAGACTTAATTCATGTACTGATTTTGAAACTGAGTTTATAGTTTTAGGGCAGTGAGAAAAAACTTCTGGCTTTCACTTTAAAAAAAACAAAACATTGTATCAAATAGGAACTCAAATCACTTTTACTTTTGAAAACGATTAAGCCAGAGCATGTTATCTTCTGCTAACTGAGAGGATAATTCTCACTTAGCTAGCTACCAAGAAATTGCACTCAAATCTTTCTGTTTGCATGTATGCAATACAACATTCGCAGCTGAGCTTGGAGAAAACTCCTCTCTCTCTAATACTAAAGCCAAAGCCTCAGTTTGGTATTTTGAAGTAAAATTACCTAAGGGTAGAAAATATCCTCAAATACTTAGGAAGGAAATAATAAAGGTTTGAATAGATTTGAAATCTTAAGTTTAAATTCTGCCACAACAAAATACATACCTGAGGAGAGTTCATAATTTCATTTAGTTTATTAGACAAAAATATATGATTTAGACAAGTTTTGCTGACGCGCTATTTACAATCTGAAATCACTCTATATACAGAAAGAAAAAAAAACCAAAAAAACCCCCCACAAACACATGGGAAACATTTACCAAACAAATAATCCAAGAATGGTTAGAATAACACGCTCTGAAATGGTACAAGGAAGAGGGGACTCCATCTACAGATTTGTGTAATCGCTTTTATGGATTTGCACCATCTTATTGCAAAAAGAGATTGATGGGAGTCGTTTATATCGTTTCCTTTTTTTTTTTTTTTTTTTTTTGTGTCCTTTATACCAGTCTCTGTAATTTTTTTTTTTCACGGAACCATTTAAATCAAGCAGAAGGGAGAGCTGTTAAAATTCGCGGTGTTCCCTCTTGCTGAGCCAAAGAGCTGCAGGAAGAAAAAGATGTAATAATCTATGAGTAGAAGACTTGGTGGAAGTACCGCCTGCCCGCTGCTGTAAAAGATCCTGGGGTAAACTAACTCGAGCAGTGTTCAATCCAGAGCATAAATGCCACAGGATATTTGAGGTTTGTTAAGTTTCAGAAACTTACGGCCTGGCAATGGGCAGCTGTAATTTATTCTAACTCTGAAAGGCTCACAGCAGGAAATGCTTCATTATTGCTCTCCTTTTTTTTTTTTTTTTAATATGGATGATTATGGTGATGATGAGGTGTTATAATTTGTCTTTATTCAAACACTCTGTTCCGCATAAGTAATGTTCCTAAAGTGGAATAAAAACAAAAACAACCACTCACTTGTCACGGACAGGCTGGAAAGGCGATTTTAACTGCGGAGGTGGGGAATCAGTTCTTGGTACATTTTCTCTTTCTGGAGGGTAGGGGGGGAAATCACAAGGAAGAAACATCTTAGAACAAGATAACCAAGCACAGAGACACGCATGCACTCCCCCCACCCCTCCTGCCACACCCCCCTCCCAGCGCTGAGCAGAGAGAGGTGCCTGAATCCACATCTGATTCCTGAACTAAGGATGCGTGTTTTTTTCCAAAGCAGATCGAGGATGTTTTAAACCCCTCCCTCGCCCTGAAGCCGGGAGCCGGCTCTGCAACCCAAAGCAGGGGCGTTTTTGAGCCGGGGGCCCGTTCAGCAGCCCCGGGTCCTAGATCTAAGGGGCTTAGGGGCCGGGTGGCCGCGCAGCCCTTACCTATGTGCTTGGGGCTGGTCCGCTCTGAAGCCTTGTCGCCGCTCAGGGCCCCCAGGGTGGCCGCC